GCGGTGCGCCGCCTCGGCCCAGGAGGCGCCGGCGCCCAGCAGCGCGTCGTAGGCGATCATGGGGGCGTCGTGCCCGCTGCTGCCCCCCCAGCCCGAGTAGCTCACCGAGGCGTAGAAGGCGTCTCTCTCCGCAACGCCGTAATTTGAGGGGAAGGCGGGAGGGGAGACGCCGTCTGCTATGCCCCGCTCCTTCAGGTATTTGTTCCACTGTTCTTCAAAGTATTGCCTGCCAAAGAGAAGGAAAGGGAGGCATGGAGACAACAGTGCCAGTGCTGCAAGAGACACCATTTCTGCACACCAGTACTACCGGCACCAGCTAAAAATGCACCCCACAGAAAGACAGCCTGGAGCAGCAGCTCGACAAAATGGTAGGCGTGCCCTTTATCAGGCCGAGGACATGATTTACAGTAAGGTGCCCGTCTCGGTGTACTAGATTCCCCCCTCCAGCCACATGGGAGAAGGCAGTTGGGCACCTGTGGCTGCTGTGCTGCAAAGGATCGAAGGCTGAGAGCGAGAACTGAGTCATCCTCCTGAATTCACACTGCCTCTGCCAGTGCCGCGGGTGTGCGTAGAGTCACTCCGAACAAACAGGGTTAAAACTCTCCAACTGAGCTCAGCCCGGTGCTCGTCCCATTCCTGGTTGCCACCTTTCATGGGATCGTAGTTCCCCAAGACGACAAGTCTAGCTACCTCATGTTTGATCCAAAAGTGTCATGGCTGTGTGACATTTTTTTTTCCTTTTTTTTTTTTTCTTTCTTTCTTCTAGGTAGAGGGATTTGTCTCCCAAGAGACTTAAGAGCTTTCTGAACTGATCTGATCCCGTGGCAAGCGTGTGCTGTTCTAAGAGTTTAGAACAATGTGACTACACAAGCTTACTCATAAGCAGAGCTTATGCATGAGGTTCCTTCTAATTTTTAACAATTCCCTTTTTTTTAACTGTGGTTTTTTTTCATCACCCTGGGTTCTGCAGTGCAAAAGGCTTTTGGAGTGTGTCTAAGAGCACTCCGAGAGCTCCTTTTGGGACTCCTGGAAGGCACCCACCACAGAAACCTGTGCTCAGAGCTGCCTTGGTGTGCTTTGGAACATGAAACACTGAGCGCCCCATGCTGCAGGCCCTGTGAAAAGCTGCCGCTGAGAGCCCAGCTCACCAATGCCTCATGTTCTCCTCCACGAAGAAGCCGGCCTCCCTGACGTAGGCTTTGGCTCGTGGCAGCACTTCCAGCAGCCCCTTTCCCCAGGCCTCGAGCGGTCTGTTGTTGACTGCGAAGGCCGTGAAGAGGGCCGAGGCCAGGGAGCCCAAATACCCGGTGGGATGGTGGTGGGTCATCCGCCCGCTCTCGATGCTGACTTGCACCAGGGTGTCCAGCTGCTCTGGGTGAGGGAAACGCAGCCCAATGCACATGGAGCGCATGGCAGCGCCGCAGCCTCCTTCCTGGGCGCTGAATGGGATCCTCCAGCCATCCGGCCTCTCCGGCTGCAGCTTCAGAGCGTTCTCCTTACACGTGACCCCTGGGCAGGAAAGGAAGGAGACCCAGAAAGAAAGAAACACAATTAGGAGACCAGATAACATTGAGTCCTGACCTAAAGCAGGACTAAGTATCTTTGTTTTATTCCTGACAGGCTTTCAATCTCCTTATAAGGCTCCTTAAAGATGGAGACCTCACAAGTTGCCCAGGAATCTTTTCCACTGCCTCACTGATAAGAAATGGTTCATGCTGGTGAACCTGTAGCTCCCTTGCTCCAGTTTTAGGTTCGTTAGGAAGCAAAGATCTTAGTGCTTCCCTCACTCTAACAGTTCTACATGACTCTTAAAATGAGCTCAAGAACAACTGTGCTAGCTTACAGCAACGTTTTGTCCAGTCCACTAGCGTGTTGTCTCCAAAGACAGCCCCAGCAGGTAATTACAGAAGGGCAATCAAGAACCATGCAGGCACACCGTTTTCTGACCCCTGCTGCAGTCACAGCAGTGAGGCTTCCTGAGCCAGAGGCTGCATCCGCAGTGTTGTCTTCAACAGCCCCTGTGGACCTAACCACCATGAATTGGTCTCATTAGGCCCCAAGCATGCTTGCAGTTCACACCCCATGGTAACCAGTGCCATGATTTTGTTATGCAAAGTATTTCCTTCAGTCTTAAAACAGCCATTTGACAATTTGCTTAAATTCCCCTCTAATTTTTACATTGTAAAAACTAATGACTAGCCATTCTCCAGGCTCTTCAAGACTGAATACATTTGGTCAAGTTTCCTTTCCTCAGCTGGCTCCTGCTACAAGCTGACATCCTAGTCCAATTTTGCCTCTTCTTCTCAGGTGGGAAGCCATGCCACAATTCTGTGTTGTTGTCTCTTTCATAATTCTGCTATTTATTTGTTTGATATATGGCTCTGCTTCTTTCAGTGCTGCTGCTTTCAACACTTCACCTATCAGTGCAACATATCCATAGGCGAAAGCCACCCACAGAAACACATCCATGTCTCAGAGCTCCAAAGCTGAGCCTGCATTTTGCTGCCTAGCAAGGGACCCTGACTAGCAAATGAACATGCACGTGCCCTGCTGCTTTAACAGCAAAACCAAGGCATTGCTTAGAGCAACAAGCACTTCTGGCAAGAAGCTTGGCCCAGGCTTTTTACGTAACTGTGCCACTCTAGTAGCTTTGGTGCCACAACACCGTCAGAAAAGGACGACTCTAAAAATATCTGGACCACTGGATCAGTGGAGGACGCAGCCCTCTGCTCTGCCAACTGCTGGGCAAGCTCCCCCATGTGCCAGTCTCAACGTGAGGCAGCAGCACAGAGTGGTGGCTGCTGCAGCAGGAGCCGGCCACCCGGCACTGCCTCTGGGCACAGGAACAGCAGCAGCAACGGAAGGAAAACAGGGGCGGGAATCAGCGCCACCAAGGAGTTCGCTTCTGTGGCTTCTCCAAGTGCGGATGCATCCAGGCCTCCGAATCTGCTTTTTATATACTTTATTAACACAGTGCTGGATGTTACTTATCAAAGGTAGTCAAGTGTCATGTCAGTATAATTTCTAAGCTTTACTTTAAGAGAAAAAAAAAAGAGTTGTATATTTCCAAATACACTATTGCACTTATGACCTATAAAAGGACATTTAAAAAAATCCTGGCTAACAAAACCATGGCTTAAAAAAAAAAAGTATCAACTACCCTATTTGTATATCCGTGTTAAAACTAACTTTCTGGAAGAAAGATGAAGAAAACAGGAGAGAGAGTAGAGAAAGGATTAATGCAGCTTAAAATAAAAATTTGCCCAAAAAACGGAAAACAAACTTTGTAATCTCTATGGGGCTGCAAGAAAGACATGTCTTATGCACATGTTTGAGCTTGTTCAAACTAGGCAACTCAGTCCTTGATAAAAAGTAAGATTGTTCTTTCATTTAACTATAATCAAAGGAAAACCCAGGCAATGACAAGGCATAAAATGTAAAGGAAGACTGGTTATTTTGCAATAATAATCAAACATTTTCTCACAGTTTTAAACCTGCATATATATCTTTAGGAGACTACCATTGACAACCTCCAATGCAAAAAAAAAAAAAAAAGAAAAGAAAAGAAAAGAAGAAGAAAAAGGAAAACCACCGAAACCATCCCAGTACACAGCAGCAAATACTCTACTGATTTACAAAAAGTGATGTGTTGTTGATTTTAACATCCTAATATTAAATCCTCTGAAAGCTGAGTAGGAAGACTAATCTGCAATCAAGCTGCTGGGCGTTTTTAAAACCTGCAGTAGGAATTTTGGAAGCAGGAAAATCTGTTTTGTAACCTAGCAAATCCTAGTTAGGATTTTTTTGTGCTAACTAAAAGAAATTCTAAGTAATGTGAGGAAGTGCTCTTCTAAGGAGACAAGAAATACAGGCAAAATCACATGCAAATAAAGCAAAGCTGAAAAAAGTAACTGTATGTTATTTCTGGAATAAGCTTCCATTCAACTTATTTAGACTCTTCATGAGCACAGACAGTAATGACTAGGATGTCTTGATACACACAGAAAGATGAGTTAAAACAATCACATAGTCACAAATAATTCCACAGGCAGAGAACTTCTTAGACGAAAAGAAACAGAATGACAGGCAACTGCCTTGAAGCAGATCATTTCCTGGACAGCTTTGAAGACAGATGCAGTTACATTATAAAAAGAAATATGGCCCTGTATGTGTCACTTACTTACTTCATTCACTGGCTCTGCAAACAGCAAAGGATGAAGAATGTGGGGCTTTGGCACATCACAAAAAAAAAAAAAAAAAAAAAACATGTAGGGATGAACTTGCCATTGAGTTAAGAGGGTCAGGTTAACCTTTCCTCTTGGGGATTGATGGAACCTGTCGAGGCCTTCTGATGACTAAAAAAGTTGTGGGAATCCCTTTGCCGCCGTGGGTTTTGTTTTTTGGGTCTAGCCTCCCTTGGGTGGGTGAGCAACATGATTTTCCCCCACTGTTCTGTGAGAACCTCTTCTCTGTTGGGTGAAAGCTGCAGCAGCCACTTTCCCTTCTCAGCTCTAAAGACTGCAGTTACCTGATGGATCGTCACTTTGGCTGTCAGAGCATAACCTGGAGTTACGTCCTCAGTTAAAATCTATTTGTTCCAATTACTGGAGCAAAGTTACAGACAAGTGAGGTCTAGCAGTCTGCTTTATCTAACTCACTAAGCTTTAACAATACAACATGGAGGCTCCGGATTGTGGACAGTGTTTCACAGATGACATGTTCCTTTTAGTAATAAGTTAGTAGGCATTAGACAGGCAAATCTTAGAATTTAAGCTCTCAGAGGCTGTGTAAGGCCCATTGGACCCCTTTCCTGTGGTTTCAGTAGGAGCCCTGCAGAATGCTGTTACAAGAACATTTTCAGCAGACTTCCATTTTTTCCACACACTAGTCTTTCTCAGCTAAAATTTTTCACAGTGTGTGTCCATTGACCCAGCACCCACTAAAGGAGATGCACCTCTTTGCTAGCCTGACCTTTTTTTATTTCTACTCTGATTAGTTGCCATGGCAAATTTAAATTAAAACACTTCCAAATCGGAACTGCTTGGCAACATGTTGCAGCTCAGTTGCTCACAAAAAGCCTGCAGCAGCTGCGCTATTATCCTTACCTATTTCTAAAATTTCAATGTAGGCTTTTCTCATTTTCAGCTTGGGTTTTAGTCACCAAGCTTTGAGAGCAGAGGTGAAAATATCTTTGAGGCACTGTCTCAAAACCAGCTGTGGTTAGTCCAGTTTGGTAGATGGGAACCACCAGTTCTTCAATCATGGGTACTCTAAGATGCCTAAACAGCAAGGATTCTCTGGAAAGCTTAACCTGCTGACTCCTGCTGTCCTGGCAGCTATCATTACCCCTTCTTAAATATTTTATCAACTAAACCACTCAGACAACAGAGATTATCTGTGTTTAAGAATACTGCTGTCTCAGCCTGCAATAGCAAGGTAGGAGGTGTCTGCGACAAGAATAAATTCCTTCTCACGTTTCCAGCCAGGCTTTGTGTGCCACTATAATCAGTGGCCCTAAGAGAGCAATGCAGACATTTGGCCATTCCCAGGAAAGCATGTTTTACATAAAGCCAGAATATTCCTGATAATAATTTGGAAGCAACTCCAAAGCATAAGCAAGTGTTCAGGCAATTTCTTTTTGATGTATCATTTTGCACAGGATTGCTGAATTTGAGCGTTTCCTTGATACTTTGCATTACCTGCACCAGCAAAATAAGAGGCCCCAGCCTCAGCAGCTCCTATTTAACTTAGATTCAAGCACCCGCAAGAGACTGGGCCAGCTGTATAGGCAGAGATGGCAGCTTCTGAAGAGTTGGGTCAGCCAATCTAGATTAAACATCATCTGTCAGCATACCCTTCCTAAGTTGTGTACATATCACCAATCCCCACTACTTGTGACCCAAACTTGGCAGGATTGTGTTTATGCAAAGAAAGGAGAGCTGATGGAAAAGACAACTTGCAGAAATGACAGCTGAGTCCTGACTGCTCAGGTGCAGAAATAGATGGCTGGAGATAGCCAAAGGTAGGGTATTTTGTTTGTTTGCTTTTTTAATAACCTTTAATTATTCTAGGCAAGGTTCTTGATGCCTTTAAATGTATTTTAAACCTGATTTATTGCAATTGTTACAAGATATTTCAAGTTAATTGTCTATTTAAATTTGTTGCTTTAACACAGCATTCCGGGGTGCTTGATACACATGGCTGAATTTTCATCCTTTCCCTGAGTTCAAGACCAAGCCTCAAGAATAACTGTGAGAAAGTCTTGCGAGTGTGGGCAAACATCATCTTTTCTACCCTCACACAGAAAGGACCAAGGCTCCTTGCCCTATTGTGTTTTCTTTAGTTCTGTCTGAGAAAAATACTAAGTGTGGAAAACTTTTGCTCATCCGTAAGGTCCAGTTAAGGCTATAGACAGCCGAAAGCAAAGCCTTACATTGAGAAGCAGGGAGAGCCTGACTGCCAAACTGCAGGAGAGCAGGACACCATTAGCCTTGAGGAGAGAGCAGGGCCGAGCGAGAGATCCGCACAGACAACACGAAAGGGGTTACCTGGAGCTCTGCCTTCCATGTCCTTCATGCACTCCTTGTAGTTCTTTGCCAGCAAGGAATACAGATGTGCTAAATCTGGATTTTTCCCAGCCGCTACCAGGGCTTCAGCCGTAGCCAGGTGCATCACTGTATCATCGCTGACTTTCCAGCCCCGGATGCTGAAGTTGCCAAGCCCCCCCATCTGTGCCAGCTCTTTGTGGATGTCAGGGCCACTCTGCAGGAATTCCCATTTCCCGTTGTAATAGCCCAGTGTGTCTCCAAGGGCACTCAGCACCATAGATGCCACATAGTTTTCCATTGGCTTGGGGCACTCTTTTTGCCCCACAGTTGCTTCAATACCGCAAATACTACAGGGAAAAAAAAAAAACAAATTAGAGAGGACGAAGGAGAGAATGAGGCAGAAAGTCTTTCTTATCTTAACGCAGGTTAAGCTCTGACAGCTTAGGTGCTTGGTCTAGCACCTGCACCTCACTGAATTCCCTCAAAGTACCTGTTTCCCCGTGACCTCTGGGCACGGGCGCTGTGCACAGCCAGAAGCCTGTGAGCACATGCTTCAGAGCAGAACTTGGCCAGCTGAGCCCAGAGCAGGAGACCACAGAGCCCAGTCTTCCAGAAGCAGCAAAAGTCCAACACCAGGCTGCCCATCACGCTTGGGCCGCAGAAGAGGCAGCACTGCAGGCGCACATGCCCCTGACTTCAGAGCCTGGCTACAGAAATTTCCATTCTTAAAAGCAGAATTGAATACTGAGGGGAGCATATATGTTAAGTAACACCCCCCCACACACACACAACCAAAATATACACTTCACTACACTACTTTTTATGACTGTGTCTTGATAAGTGCTAAAGGGACTGAAGTCTCCTTTCACCATATGACTTAAGAAAAATGCAGCAAGAAAAATTACAGACATAGTGAAAAATTCAATTACTAATAAGCTGCTTGAGGTTGAGCATGTGATTTGCGTAACCGAGAAGGCCTCTTACCGCTGAACTTTGTTTTTGTTCATACTAATTACTTACACGAGGAGTATTTTGAATAAGAGCTGCTGGGTCCTCCCTCCCATTAGAGAAGGAGCACACCTCCTCTCAACATTGCAGAAGGCCTCCAGCGTCTTTAAGGGGGTCTGTGCTTTGCTGCCAAAGCTCGCGGAGGGCTGAGCAATCACAGGGACCCTGCCCAGTATCGCGAGGGTTACTCCTTGGCCGGTGTCCGAATTACAGCGGGGAACGCAAGAGGGCTCAGCTTCCAGCTTGCAAGAGGGCTCAGCTTCCAGTCTTGCTGGGAGAAAGTGAAAAAAAAAAACAAGGAAAGAAGGAAACAAAGAAAAGAAACTAAGAAACTTAAAGCAGTGCTTTCCGTCTCTCTTTTACAGACCACAGTGTAGCAGAAAAAGAAAGCAAGCTGTTTTCATCATGCTGAAAGTCACAGAGCAATGGAGCCAGCGCTGTGGCAAGCTCAGCTTCAGACCTGTTTGTTGCAAAGCTGCAGCGAAGCCAAAATTAAGGTCCCCCAGCCCCCTACATTGTGCGGCATGGGGCAGCCGTCTGCTCACAGCCCCTGTGTGCCCGGCTTGGGTGGTTATTGCTGACCTGGGACCCCGTGTCCTGGGGCAGCCATCCCTGGGTTTCGTGTGCCCTGGAGCCTGGGATGACTCGATCCCATTGCCGCTTCCCAAGGGAAGGCGCGGCAAGCTGGGCCCCGCCTCAAGGGCTTCCCCGCTGTCCTTGTGCCGGCGCTTCCCAGACGTGTAACTGCTGCGTCACCGGCACCGGCGCGCCGGGCCAGCGGGAGCCCTGAGGGAGCAGGGAGCGAGCAAGGGGCAGCACATGGGGACAGGGGGGAACCCACTGCCCTGGAGGACTCTGCCCCTGGGCCTGCTGCTGTCCCATCCCTGCTGCAAGCAGCAGCCCTTCTAACCCTGTAAGTGCCAGGCCGCTTTCTCCTCCCTTCTACAAACAGCAGAAGCCCGTGATTTTGCAGGCAGGGAAGCATTATTTTGTGCTGAGCAACTGCACTGCTCATGCACAGCTAGGTCTAGGAGGCCAAGCCAGCACCAGGAAAGTTACTTGCCCCTCAAGTCTGTAGTTAAAAGATTAGACTAAGCGCGCTCCCCGTCTGCCTCTCTCCAGCCGTCCTGTCCTTCTCTCTCCAGTCATCTTTCCTCCTCTCTCCAGCCGTCCCCAGCAGTGGGACGGGTGTCAACTTGCCCACCAAGACCATCAGGTGGGTGGATCAGCCCACCCTGAGGCTTGTGACTCATCCACGTCTCATCCATTTCACATAGGCCCACAGGAGCCCTGGCGGCTCTTCACCAGCTGCACCATGAGGACAAACCACCCTGGCACCTCGGGGTGCCACATGTCAGCCATGACCCCGCACCACATTTAGCTGGGGACACAGCAGCCGGCAGCTACAGCAGCGAGACCTGAGGCTACCAGTCCTGGTGGCTCCTCAAGAGTGACCATGTGCCTGCTCATGCCAATGGCGCCACTGCCCTCCAGAGCGCCTGCCTGAAGGAGGCCAGCCAGCTCCCCAAAGGCAAGAGGCCAAACCTCAGGGAGGAGGAAGCCCTGTCAGCCTAGCACAACAGCAAAAAAGGGGATTTTTTTTTTTTTGGTTGTGTCCCAGCTATACGATCAAAAGCTCAAGAAGAACAGCTTTCACTTGGGTATGTGCAAAAATGTCTTCTGGGCTGTGGAGCTAAATATCTTCTTTCATTTTGGGGATTATTGCTTTCTTAGCACCTTTGGCAGCAAAATAGTCAATTTGTAAATGAATTCACTGAATGGAAATCAAAGATTTTGCTTAAAAAGAACGTCAAAATGAAACGTGTGCACCATTTCCCCAATTTTTCAATTGAAATTCTTCACTTATTTCATGCATAGCCTCCTGCTCCTTCTAGTCTGATCCCACCTTGGCATGGTTGAGTGCAGCATTCGGGCTCTGGGCCCTGCTCAGAGTCACGAGGGGAGAAGCCTTTTATTCGTTTAGTCCTTTTGAACATCCCTCCACTGCAGCTTGGGCTGAGACTTGCCAGCCCTTCCCCATCCATCTCCAGCATTTCCTGAAGTCCTTGCCTGCACACTCTGGCTTGCTCTCCTGCCGCATCCCTCGGTGTGTGGGGGCAGCCATCGCTCCTTGAGTGTGCCCTATGAAGCCCTGAATTCGGCAGGGTTCAGCTCCAGGCTGGGACAAGGCCCCTCTGGTATCCCAACCTGTGGGTTGATTTTTGCCCTGTCTTTTGTTGTTGTTGCAGTTTGTTTTGTTTTAAGCTGTATCTCTAGGCGTTTGATGATACCATCGCCTCCCACGAGTGTTATATTTTATTTTTAATGATGCTTGTGGTTGCATGGCTCATGGTTTCTAGTGAATGGGCAAGGAAGGAAAAGAAGCAGGAAGAAGGAGTGAGATACAGGATTGAGCATGAGTTGGGCTGAGATTCACTAAGGCTGATCCTTTCTAACAACTGCACACCGTATCTCCAGAGCCTGGATTCACCCAACAAGGTATTGATGCCTCTTACATGAAAAAAAAATCCCCCCAAGCCTATGAGAGAAAGTGGTGGTAGTTTTTGAGCTGCAGCCCTGGGGGATTTCAGGGCAATCAAGATATAGCACTGGGCCAGAGCAGAGTCCCTGGGGAATTTGGGGGCAATTAAGGGTGCAAGGCTGGAGATGGGCCCAGGGGAATTTCAGGGTAATTGAGCATGCAGAGCTGCGCTTAAGGATCTACCCCAGCAGCTTCAGTAGTTTAATACGCAGTGCCCATTCAAATACCAACTCTTGCTCTGCACAGCGCTGTAAATGTGGAGTTTTAGAAGCATCTGATGCAGAATATAGTAAGCATCAGACACACAAAATGTGTACAGAAAACAAGAAAAGGAAGTGGGAAAAGAAGTTGCCTGTGTCTTGGCACAGCCAACAGTGCTCTCTGAGCTTTTCTGCTTCTTTGGTTCATTCTGTACTGTTCAGAATTTACTAAGTAAGTCAGTTGCAACACTTAAAAGCAAAGCAGGGTTTTTGTCTCCTAAGTTTTGGGCTGATCAGAGGGAATGGCCATGATTTTTGATGGCTATCTGTGAGAAGAGGCTTCTGCTGCACCTTTAAGGACAGGGAACAAAAAGCAAATTCATAGTTTTCCCAAAATAGCCATAAAAATTGGAGAACTCCTCTGCATTAGCACAAAATGCTGTAGCACCGAAATCTTTGGATCATGTCATAGTTTTCTGGTTCCTGATCTTGTCCAGTTTCCAAAAAACAGCTCACCAAAACATGCATAGGAGTCAAGTGACATATAGACACTGGGTATAGACATGGTACAGAAGAACAGTAAGGACCGGCCGTGGAGAGACAGTGGCTGAGAAGCTGTTTGCAGGAGCAGCAGGCATAGTGAGAGAGGGATGATTTTCAGGTGTGAGTGTCATGCCCCAATGCCCAATAGCTCTCCTGCAGGGTGGGCAGGACAGCACCCTCCACCTGGCGTGCTGATCATCCTGAGGTGACACAGGCTGCATTGCCCCAGGGCGCTGCACCCTGTGGCACCAGGCAGCGGCACAGCCACACCAGCTTTGCAAGGACACCTTCCAGCTTTGAGCCATGCAAAGAGCTAAAGACTGACCATATTTTACCTTTCTAGGGGGTTTTTGTTCTTTTTTTTTAATGAAAATTAGGCTGCGGTGGACTAAATGCCAGGATATGCCTTCTGGAAAGTACCATCTTGGAGCAGTTCACTGATATGGCCCTGCCATGTGTTGGATACTGTGGTTAGTACTCACTTAGATGCAGAATTTTCCTTCATATTCATCCGGAAAAAAAGGGTAATTCTCTGTTTGACTTAAAAAAAGTGTGGCTTTTCAGATGAACCCAGGGTTTAAGAGCCCAATTCTGAGATGCAATGAAAGGCAGCATTACAGCACCAGGACACAAACCAGTTTAGACTCTGCGGGGCGTTTCCTCCAAACTACACGAGGTCTTATGTCTGAAAGCTGAAAGACAGTGCAGATTAAAAATTAGCAGTCACTGCTAAAACTTCAGCTCTCATAAACTTGGCAATGCTCCTGTTTTGCGTGCTACAGCTCTCCCTGAAATGGGACTGCAAGGGAACATCAGGAATTTACACTTTTGCCTCACATCAATCTTCTCTTTGGCACTCAGATTCAAATGTGACTTTCCAAGAGATATTTTGGGTTCTCAAGCACGTTCAACTTGGACCCTTGCCAATCATTAACAGTCCCTCGTACTTTTAATAGCATTTTTCTCTTTAATAACAGCCGGCATTTTTTAAGTGGGGAATACTTCTGGGCTTACCCTAGTTTTCAGTCCCCAGGTGTG